ATACATGGAAACTTTAAGACAAGAGCTGTGGACAAATGACACTGGGGAGCTGCATTGCTGCCAAAAACCAATGGAGCCCAGTGATGCAGAGAGGACTCGGCCAGAGGAAGGGTTAAAGCCAGTGCAGGTATCTGTCAAAGCATGAGGAGGGGCAAGAGATGAGGTTCTGGGGTCAGGCTGCTGTGAAAACGGTAGTTTCTATCCTCTCCTGGCAGCCTGCTCTTGCCCCCAAGGCCCGCTTGTCAGCTCAGATGGGGACCTGCTCTCAACGATAGTGAAAGCTGCTTCAGTGCAGAACAGACCAGTGTGTCAAGATGGCACCAAGTCCTGCGGCAGCAGGTGTGCCGGGCAGTCAGAAAAGATGTGTCCTGCAGGAACCTGAGCACTTTGGTGAGGTACGAACTAGTTTGAAGACAATGAACAATGATCTTCTAGTCTGCCCCACATAGTACTCCATTGTAAAAGTGGCAGACTGAGGCTGGAGAGGTGGCTAAGGGCAAAGGCCATGAAAGTCTGATGACCTGTTCGATCCCTAGAATCCACATAAAGGTACAAGGAGAGAACTGACCCTACAAAATTGTCTTCTGACCTCCAAATGTGTCCTCCCATTATACATACAAATTAATAAAGCTAAAAAATAAAATACATATGGAGACTGAGGGTCTGCAGAAATGGCTTAATGGGTAAGAGCACTTGTTGCTCTTGCAGAGGACCTGAGTTTTGTTCCCAACATCTATGTCAGGCAGCTCATAACCTCCTGTAATGTTATGTGCTGATTTGAATGAGAATGTCTCTCATAGGCTCCAAATATTTGAACACTTGGTTCCCATTTGGTGATGCTGTTTGGGGAGGGTCATGGAACCTTTAGGAGGTGTGGCCTTGATGGAGGAACACCTCACTGGCCAGGCTTTGAGAATAGATATAGCCTTGGTTAATTTCCAGTATGTCTCTCTGCTTTCTGTGCCTGCTTGAAGATATGAGTGCTCAGCTTTCTGCCTCCCTGCTTCCCCACCTTGATGGACCCTTACCCTCTGGAACTGTAAGCCGAGCAAACCCTCCAATAAGTTGCCTTGGTCATGGTGTTTCATCATAGCAACAGAAAAACAGAAAATAAACAATACACTCCTACTCAAGGGGATTCAACACCCTCTTCTGGTCTCAGCATGCACTGCACTCACTTGCACAGATCCCCACAAAGTCACACATATACATAATTAAAAATAAAAATAAAATCTTAGGGGAGCTGCAGAGCTGGCTCAGTGGTTAAGAGCACTGACTGCTCTTGTAGAGAACCTGGGTTTGGTTCCCAGCACCCATATGGCAGCCAACAACTGTCTATAACTCCAGTTCCAGGAATCTGATGCCCTCTTCTGACCTCCATGGGCATTGTATACCCGTCATGCACTTATGTACATGCAGGCAAAGCATTCATAAATTAAAAATAATTCAAATAATAAAAATAATAAAATATAACCTTGGGCCTGGCTTATGACTCTAGGCAATTCTCCTGCCTCAGCTCTCTGAGCGCTGGGATTACAGGCATGCACTTTCATGCCAAGCTCCTGACCAAAGACTTATGTCCAAATTACAGGCTACTGTCAAAACCCCATAAGAAAAAACCCCAAAGACCCAGACAAACAATGAACTAGAATACACATGGATGAATGAGCAAGTGTGAAATATGCACTAACTAATAACAGAAAAGCTCTGACACCATTTGGCACCAGGAACTACGAGCTGTGCTGCCACCGTACACCAACTGGCAGGGCTGAAGACAAGGAGCCTGGTGGGTAGGCACATCATCATCTCAGGACTCAGGAGGTTGAGGCAAGAGGATCACTACATGTATAGTTCAGTGAGGGCTACATGACACTGCCTCAAAAGCCAAAAAGGGAAAAAAAGAAAAAAAGATGCCCTGGGCCCTGATGCCACCAGCCCTCAGTGTGGGTGGAAACACGAGCTGTTCAGACAGTTTGACAAATGGGTGCTGCCCAGCATTTACCCAAGAGGATGAAGCTCACCCACACAGAGCCCCATATGACACTGTCCACAGCTGCTTGTCCCACAAATGGAACAATAACCCTGATTCCTTTGGCTGTTAATGGGACAAGCCAGGGTCCACCTGGAGGATAGGACATTGTTCAGATGGAAAGGCACTGGATGTAGTGGACATGCCTGGCCACATAGCACATGTATCATGTCCAGTAGACATGTCTGATTATAGACAGCATGGCTTATCTGACACCTGAAAACTTATAAAGAAAAAACAAAGTGGCTACAGTCAGCAGGGTACCAGGGATGACTCAGCAACAACAGGGACTGGGCCCTTCCCAGTCTCAGATGTAGCACTTGTCAAAGCTCATGGCCCTACAGCTCCAACAGGTTTAGGGGTGTAAACTATATTACCATTGGAGGGCTTCTGCATTTCGCCCCCTGGAGGAGGACAACACAGGTCCCAGAGTGGTGGTCAGGACTGGGCCCGTGGCTGGAGGAGTGGCAGTGAAGAGAACTAGGGTGTGAGCCTGACTGGCAAACCTGATGCTCAAATGCTGCAAAACTACGAACACTTAAGTTTAAAAATCCAATCCTACACCAAAGAAAATAACTTAAGGGGGAAATGCTAAAACTCTCCTGAAACCTGGTACCACATCACTAGCCACCAAAACTCAATTCTCCATCATTCTGCACCAGTTGGAACACATACTCTGAGCACAGGCCGCTGTAATGATTCGTGATGCAAAACCAGCAAGACTTTTGTAACTACGGTCAGAAACAGCACTCGTCCCTAATCTAGATCCAAAAGGGGCAGGACCAGATGAGCTCATGTCCCTGAGGAGGAGCCAAGTCCTCCCTTGGGGACCCAAGCACAGGAGGAGGGCCAGCAGTGTGTGCACACTCACATACGTCATGTCTGTGCACATACACATCCCAAGTCCATACTTACCAGACACTGAGTATGGTATCTTCCCAAGACAGTTACTGCCTCCTAGGCCTCCCTTGCTCCTGGCAGCTTCTGTGATGATCAAGGGCAGAAACTTCCCCAAGCTACAAGGACTAGTGTCCAGTCAACACTGCTGGACTTCTTGTGGCCTGAGGGGACCCAAGAAGAACACAGCTGCTACAGACTTGGTCAAGAGGGACATACTGGCCCTCATCACCAGCTGGGACATGAGAGCAGGAGTGGTCCCCCTGCCCCCGCTCCCCCCAGCAGTGCAAAGCAGTGTAGGCAACTCCAGACAGGAAGAACAGAAGCCCTTCAGGATCCTGTTGTTGTGTCCTAGCTGAGAGGTGGAGGAGAAAGTAAATATAAACTGGGCACAGTAGTGGCACATGTCTCTGATCCCAGCGCTCAAGAGGCTGAGGCAGGAGGATCTCACAAATTCAAGGCCAGACCAGGCTATATAATGAGACCCTGCCTCAAAGAAACCAAGGGCTAAACTTTAATCCCAGCACTCTGGAGGCCGAGGCAGGTGAATCTCTGTGAGACTGAAGCCAAGCCTGATCTACATGGCAAGATCCAGGCTAGCCAGGGCTACAGGGGACCTTGCCTCAAAAACAAACAAAAAAACAAGGGAAGGGCTGGGATGTATGTCAGTGGTAGAAGACTTGGTGTAACACATATGTGGCCCTGGGTCTGAAACTGAGTCCTGAGGAACACAAACGAAAGACAGATAAACAAATACACGACTAGCCTTCATATTAGGTTCCATGTCTGGAAGACTCGACCTGACCATCGAATCGGGTAACAACTGACAGCTGATAATAGCTGACGACTAACACTTGTGCCTGTCTTAGAACTTGTGTGCTTCCTGCTTTGCCAGCTTCTCAGGGACGTGCAAAGCCACAGGAACAGGGATGCTGACTGGAGGGAGAGGCAGGGTTGGGTTCAGGCTCAATAAGGCCCTAGATTGAGGGCTAGAGAGATGGCTCAGCAGTTAAGAGCACTGGTTGCTCTTGCAAAGGACCTGGCTTCAATTCCAGCACCCACATGGTGGCTAACAACCATTCATAACTCCAGTTCCAGGGGAGCCAATGCCCTCTTCAGACTTCCACAGGAACTGTAAGACATGGGTGCACTTACACACATACAGGCAATACACATACACATAAAATTAATACTCATACACATAAAATAAAAATAAATATTTAAAAAAAAGAAGGGCCTGGATAAAGCATGCCAGCAGAACAGAATGTTGGCAGCTGCCTCGGCCTCACCACTGCAACCACAGCCCACAGCACTCCGGTGCCAGGCCAGGCAGGAGCCACCTGGGTGCCAGGTGAGTCTCCCACAGCTCACCTTTCTGCCCCTGTCAGGGTATACTGCTGCTCAATTCTGAGAGGCATACTTCCATGAGAGGAGGGTCTTCAAGCCCATGCAGCCAGGATCTGAGCTGCAGGCAGAAACACAAAGGGGCCTTCCCCATCAGCAAGCTTGCAAGCTTGCTAGACACGGGCACATGTGGCTCCAGTCAGGACTGCATGAGGATAGGGAGGCACCAAGGGAGACCCTGTGCCATGTGTGGAAAGCACATACAAAGACAGACTTCACTCTTTCCCTGAACTGCAGTCTTAGCTCATTCTTTGTTTTGATTTTTGAGGCAGGGTCTCCCTATAGGCTGGCCGGGACCTCACTATAAAGACCAGGCTGGCCTCAGGAGATCCACCTGCCTCTGCTTCTCAAGTGCCGGGATTAAAGGCATGCACCACCACGTCCAACTACTCAACTCATTCTTGGTAAGGAAGGTGCTTATCTGGTTCTAAGTGAAAGGACAAAGTACTCATTCTGCTGTTCCTAAAACTTCTAGTAGAGCCATAGAGGGGCCTGGCTCAGCTTAACATGGCCATGCACATGCCCAGAAGGGAGCCAAAGATACCTGGTGGCATACTTGGATGTTTCTTTAAAATGAAGCTGGCCCAGATGTGGGAAAAAGGAGTTCCTGTGAGACATAGGGCAGAGGCCAGCCACCTGCCCAGGACACAGAGTGACAACAGCATGGGCTGCCTTGCCATCCAGGGGAGGAGGTGCCTCTCTCTGTGATCAAACAGGGAATGAGCAACACTCAGGCCCAACCCAACAGAGCATCTGAGGTCAGAGCCTTCCTCGGGACTCTGAATAGAGGCCCTTGTGGCCTTTCCCTCTGCCATGTCTCTCAGCAGCCACACTCACCTTGCACAGGGTAGTGGGGAGGGGGTGGTGAGGCAAAGTCTAGCTTGTCCTTCAGATCTGCCTCATTCTCCTCCTGCCACTGTAGCCCAATTTTCTCCCAGAGGCTGGTGGCTGTCTGCCTGCAGCACAGCAAGAGAAGAGCCATAGTGAGGCCCAGGCAGTGGGGGACCCCTCATGGAAGGCCCCGATCAAAGAGGCCTCAGGGCAGAAGTTGCTGGGCCTGGGCACAGGGGGACCCCTCCCAGAAGGCCTTGACCAGAGGCCTCAGAATAGAACCTGCTGGGCCTAGAAGCAGGATTAGGCTACAGGTACAAGTGGACAGCTGTAGCATTCTACCTGGCTCTGACCACACATTGACAGTACCAGAAGGAGCCTGATGTCCGCCTGTGAGCCAAACTTTAATACTGAAAGATTGGTCTCTGGTCGCTTAAAGACCAGAGACAGTCTGTATGGCTCAGAACCCCATGGCACACAGAATGAGGGGACAAGGCAGTTTCTCTGGGAAATTCTGAAGCAGAGGTACATGCCAACTGTGGAGAAGTACTGGTTCTGGACCAACCAGACTGTAGAGGGGACTATGGGAGGACAATCCGCCCATGGATGCCCACCTCTGCCTTGGGTACCTACCGGACCTCAGGCATGCTGTCACTGAAGCTACTGAGCAGCAGTGGGGTGAGCTTGTGGAAGAAGGAGTAGCGGTCTCGCAAACTCAGCAGCCAGCCCCCGACCACTGAGGTTACTGCTTGCCGGACCTGCCAGAAGAGAATAAAGGAGCTTCACTGAGAGTCACCTAGAAGGGTGATTCGAAGTCCCACTGTGGGGACGTCAGTCCTGAAACAGGAGCAGAATCTGAGGCCCAGGGCTGGACACCGAGCCCACTCTGGGTTTAGGCTCTACCCTTCTAGCAACCCTGAGGACCACCACTGATCAAGAGCCATGTGAGCATCTTCCGGCTCTGTCCTGGTCCTCTGTTACCCCAGCAATGCACCATGTCTGCGTCTGTGTCACTGCTCCATCTGGATGTTTCATGGGATGAAGTGTCCAGGGTCCCCAGGTGGCAGCCGGCCATCTGAAGAAGGTGCACACAGAGCTTCTGGGTCTGACCTCTTACAAAGGGAAGAAGCCAGTCTCGAGTCCCTAGTGCCAGGCAGGAAAGGAAGAAAGAAAGAAAAACAAAGAAAACAGAGCAGTAGTGGGAATCAGTCTAGGTAGATTAAAAAACAAAAACCAAAACAAAAACAATTTATGGGGCTGAGAGATGGCTCAGCGGTTAGGAGTACAGACTGCTCTTGCAGAGGACCTGGGTTCGATTCCTAGTACCCACGCGGCGGCTACAAACCGTCCTTAACTCCAGTTCCAGGGGAATCCGAAGCCCTCTTCTGACCTCCGTGGCATTGGACGACACGGGTACACTTACATGCACACAGGCAATACACTCATACACATGAAATAAAAATAAATTAAATATTAAAAAAAAGATTTATTATTTATTTGTGTGTAGGTGTGTGTGCAGGTGCGTGAGTGCGTGTTATGTGTGTATACACATGCATGTGAGTACAAGTCCCCAAGGAGGCCAGAAGAGGGTGTCAGATTCTCTGGGGCTGGAATTACAGGAGGCAGGCTGTGAACCACATGACATGGGTGCTAGGAACTGAACTCTGGTCCTCTGCAAGAACAGCAAGTACTTTTAACTACTGAGCCATTTCTGCATCTCTGGGAGATTAAACAGAAAGAATCATGGGGCTGGAGAGATGGCTCATTGGTTAAAAGCACTGGCTGCTCTTATAGAGGACCTGGGTTCGGTTCCCAGCACCTACATGGTGGCTAAAAACTGTCTATAACTCCAGTTCCAGGGGATCTGACTCCCTCTTCTGACCTCCACAGACGTTGCATGACGTGGGTGCACCTACAAACATGCAGGCAATATACTCATACACATAAAATAAAAATAATAAATAAAAATGTAAAAACCCATGAAAAATCATGAAGTTTCAGAAAAGTCCACCACCAAAGAAAGCAGAGACAGCATTCCTGAAGGCACCATTAAAGGCACTAGAAGGCAGCAGAGGGCCGGGGACATGGATCATGGGCAAATTCCTTGTTGGCAAGCACAAGGACCTGAGTTCAGATCCCTACAACCTATGGAAAGCCTGGTGTGGTAGGGTCCGGGATCCCAGCACTCCTATGATTAGATGGGAATAGAGACAGGAGAATCAGCCAGAAGCTCACAGGCTACCTGGCCTGATCTATGCAGAAGATTCCCTAGCTTAAGATGGAAAGCTGGGACCCAACGCCCTGGGCTATCCTCTAACCACCATATGCGCACTGTGGCATGTGTAGTACCTGCAGTCACACACACGAATGCACACATGCTGTACATACACAAAGAAAGCACCCCACAACTGATTTCCTGGCCTTTCTGTGGGAAATGAAGACTCTTCAGGGTACAGCCAGATGAAGCGTCTATGGAAGGTTTGGGTGACCTCATGACAACAGCCTCTTCACAGTAGGCTACTGAGACCAAGTACCACGCATGAGTCATGGATTAAATATGAAACACCTCCCAGAGCCAAGTGTTCACTTGGTCCTCAGCTAGTAGCACCAGTATGGGAGGTTATGACAATTTTGGGAAACCAGGCCTGGCTGGAGGAAGTAGGTGCCCCCGGGCCCTTCTCTGCTTCCTGTCTGTCAGGAGCCTAGAACCTTCTCCAGCACTCTGTCTTCACACAATGATGTTCCGTGAAAGCAAGAGGCCAGATGAGCAGGAATTAAACCCTCTGAACCCATGAGCTAAAACAATTCTTTTTTCCTTTAAACTGCTCTCTTAGATATTTTGATCACAGCTACTCAAAAGACAAACACAGCAGGCACTGTCATCCGTACATAGCTATAAAATTAATAGACGTCTGTCAATACACCCTCTTTACAGACTAGCTATGGATAGAGTTCCTCTATTGTGTATGGACAACTCTCAATGGCTATTTATTGACAGACAGCTATCCACATGTGGCTACACTGTTTACTGACCATCCTGCACTCTGGTATAGTCACTCTTCCAGAAATAGTTTGGCTACTACACAGAAACTTTCCCTTCCATATGGCTGAGCTCCACCTCAGGCCTGGGGAGGTGAGTACCCCACCTCGTCATGCTCCATACCAACCGTATCTCCCCACAATGCTGCTGCTTGTCACTGGGCTAGACCCTGTGGGTGCACGTGCACACATGCAATTTCATATGTGTGTGGATGCACATGAGGCCAGAGGGTGATGTCAGGTGTTTCCCTGAATTGCTCTCCACTCCATTTATTGAGGCAGGGTCTCTCACTGAACAATATGGTCAGTTGACTTAGCCAGCTTGTGTAGGGGAGCCTGACTCTACTTTTAAAGTGCTGGGATTCCAGGTGGGTGGCCATGACCATCTACCTGGCCTTTATGTGGGTGCTGGGGATTGAACTCTGGTAGTTTTGCTTACACAGTAAGTGGGTTGTCCACTGAGCCATCTTCCCAGTCCCTGGGAAGATTGTTGACCTCATTTTGGTTAGCCTAAGTGTTACTGATGGACCCCACTTGCCTCATTCCATGCTGCCCACTGAAGACCCTACTCCAGCAGGTCAGGCTCAGCCTTCGTCATCAGTTTGACACAAATGATCCTGGGGGGTGGAGGTTCCCCATCTCTGCACATGGCCTCCAGTGGCCATAGTGCTGCCTCTGGAGGGAGACTCTGTGGTGAGATCAGCAGAGAGGCAGAGGTAGCCTGGACAGGTGCTGCTGCTCCTGGGCCCGCCCTACATTACAGACCACACTGAGCTGGGGCAGGCACCAAGTGGCAGCTCTCCACACTCTCCCTCCAGCAAACCTACCACCTGCCGAGGCTCCCCAAGTTCCCTGCTTTCCTTGGGACACAAGCATGAGGGAGATGGTGCCCTCCTATCCTCAGTCTACCCTTAGGATTTTTCTAGAAAGGCTCTGAGCCCTTTCTGTCTTGTGTACATGTCAACATAGTAAAAACTGCACAGCAAGTCAGGCAGGGAGCATAACGTACAGGTCCATTACTACCAAGATTAAGGCAAAGGGCGAGAAATCACATTACCTGAGGGACATCATCGAAGAGTCGCTGAGCAAAGTGGGAAAGGACATCATCCACAGAATTCCCGTTGCCAAATTGGATCACAGTACCCGTGGCTTCAATGACGGCCACCCGGACCTTCCAGTGCTGGTGGGAAATGGTCTGCATCAGAGGGCCAATCAGGGACTCCGACTGCATGTGGAAGTGCTCTGCAGGACAGAGGCTGCTGGTTATCAGAGCAAGGGTCATCTGGCTAAGCTCTGTGGCCACCATGACACCTGCCACCTTCCTCTGGCCTCTCACCACACACCAGCTGGGGCTGACCCCAGCCCTCACTTATTCCCTTCCGTGGCCCTGGCGGCTGCCCCTGCTGCTTGCATCTATCTATACACTTATTCCTCAAGGTTGGTTCCTGCTGGTCGGCAGACCATCAGCCAGCACTAGGCAGCTTTCCTGGGAGGAAAAAAGGAAATGGCCTGGTCAGGCAGAGCTGTTGAGAATAAACTCAGAGAGAAGCGGACTCCTTCCATCGGAGATGTCAGTGATCCAATCCAGAGCTTCAGGGACACTGGAGCAGGGAAACAAAAGTGCTCAAACTTGAGTGGTCCTTCTCCAAGAGCGTCCCTTTGCCATAGAAAGACCATGGTGATGCCAGCCCGAGCTAAAAGTGAGTTGGAGGCTAGCATGTGGTACATGGTGAGCTCCTAGTTCATTCCTGACAACCCTGAAATCATCATGAGAAGGAACCACCCCACACCAGCCCACTTTAGAAAGCTTCCGGGAATCTGGGCACACAGTGCAGGTGGAGCGGTCGGGGAGGGGCCCCGGGCTCACCTGGCGTGGCACGTGCCAGGGCAGCCGCACACTCGCAGCTCTCGCGGCGCACCGCGGCGAAGGGGTCCAGCAGCGCGCTCCGCAGGGCACGCACCGCGTCGTCCAGGTGTGGCGCGACCTCGACGCCGCCCAAGTCCATGGCCAGGCGGAGCAGCTGCACCAAAGCCAGGCGCAGCTCCTCGCAGGGTTCCGGCAGCGGCCGCGAGGGGTCGGGCCGGGCCAGGCGAGCGGCGAGCGCCGGCAGCAGGCGCGGTAGGACGTCACGGGGCCGCGGGGCGTGGCGCAGACCCAAGCCCAACAGACGAGCGGCCAGCGTGCGGCAGCCCTCGGCCGGGTCGGTCAGGAGACGCAGGAGGCGCGGCAGCAGCAGGCGGGCCCAGGGGCCCTGGAAGGCGGCGGGATCGGCGCCGGGCTCCACCGCCTCCTCCAACGCGCGCTCCAACGCTTCCAGCGCGCGCCGCCGCCCCTGCTTACTCTCGGCTTCCAGCCCTGGCAACAGCCGGCTCAATGTGCGGCTCAGCTCCGCTGCCTCGGCCGTCTCCGAGGGGCCCGCGACCACCTGCACCTCCGCCGGCGCCGCCATCTTGCGCGCGTTGGCGGTCACTAAGGGAACCCGCACCCGTACGACGGCAGCGGCGCGCTTTACGGCAGGACTTCCGGCTGGTGCGGCTTGCTCTGCGGCTCGCGGCAGTACCCGAGCCTGGTGGGAAGCGTGCGAGGGGAGGGACAAGGAGCAAGAGGAGGGCGGGGCCAGGGATAGTGGGAGGGGCTAGAGCTTAGGGGACGGAGTAAGGGGTGTGGCAATAGGTGAGGCGATGAAGAGGAGGAGTAATAGGTGGGGCGCCGGCCTTGGGGGCGGGGCAGGGGGCGGAGCCCTCGGGAAGGGGCGAAGGAGTCTGGGGAAAGGGATAATGGGAGGGGCAAGAGAGTGGTAGGCAGGATGCAGGCCTCTGAGGGAGGGGTGAGGGGTGAGGAGTAGGGCCTATGGGGCAGTGGGAGGGGTAAGGAGGTGGGTGGGTCTTGGACTTGGGGGCGTGACAGGGGGGCGGTAGGCGGGGGGCATAGGCTTCTGGGGAAGGGCAGTGGGCGAGGGGCCGCGGACCAGGGTTACTAGGTGGGGCGTAGGTATGGGGGAAAGGGACATAAGTCTCGAGGGCGGGGCAGGGGCGGTGGGCAGGGTGTGGGTCAGGGTAGAGGATTGGGTGATGAATGAGGGGCCTGAGACAAAAGCTGATCGGTGGGGCGCGGGCCCTGGGGGCGTGGTGGTGGGCGTGGCGAAAAGTGGGGCTGGCTTGTCCAGAGCAGATTCTCCTCTAGGACTTAAAGTGCATCTCCTTCCTCTGCTGGGTTCCACAGGTGTGAGTACACCTCCTGAGAGCTCAGGCCAGTTCTTTTGAAAGTGGGTGATACTGGGAGACTCTGGGGTCCTTGTGAGGACAGGTATTTGTTCTGCTGGTCCAGCCCAACCTCACTTTGGATATGCAGTAGCCTCGGCAAGTAGCCTTCACAGTAGACTGGTGAAGGGCTGGGGGTGGGGGCCAGAATGGTAGTGCCAATGATCAAGAGCACTACTAGGCCTTTGGCCCTAAACCAGACTCAGTGCTGTGGGACCTCCCCAGTAAGCTAAATATGTGGGAACCTGGGATTCTAAGCACAGGCAGCCAGGTCCCTCCCATCCACATGCCTTGATGTTAGGGGGTGGACTTTACAGAGAATTTGACCTTTCTATTTGATTGTTGACACTTTTTTATTTTGTGTGTGTGTGTGTGTGTGTGTATGTGTATGAGTATGAGTGTATTGCCTGCATGTATTTAAGTGCACCCATGTGATGCTCTTGGAGGTCAGAAGAGGGCATTGGAGCCCCTGGAACTGTACTTACAGATGGTTGTTAGCCACCATGTGGGTGCTGGGATTCAAATACAGGTCCTCTGTAAGAGCAGCCAGTGCTCTTAACCAGTGGGCCACCTTTCCAGCCCCTGACATTCATTTTTTAGGTGACCGTTATTTTTTTTAATGTCACGGTGAGTAAGCCTGGGGATGGCCAACAAGTTGCAAAGAGAGATCAGCTGAGCAGAGGCCCTGTGGTGGGTGTCATGGATGGAACTGTGTCCCTCCAAATTCATATGTCAGGGTCCTGACCCCAGTGCCTCACAGTGTGGCCTTGTTTGGAGACAGGATCTTTGCAGATATCAAGGTGAAGGCAATGTGATGGGCCTTGATCCCGTAAAGCTGCCATCCTCATATCGGGTTAGGGTTTATGAATGTGAGCAGGGTGGACACCAAGCCCAGTAGGAAGCACTGTGAGGGGCAGGGGCTGCTGTGGAAGCTGAAACTGGCGTTGCTGTGTTGTGGCCATCAGGCTTTGAGGGAAAGGCAGGAAGAGAAGCATCCTATAGGGAGCAAGGGTGCTCAGGGCAGCCAGGAAGGCTTTTGTCTCATTGTGGATCGCCCAGGAAGATTCTTAAGCATTGGAGCATTGGAGGCCAGGTGTGAGTGGTTGATGACCACAGCTGCTGTGGAGGATGAGATGGACTGACAGGGATAGTCTGTGAGGCCTCTAAGCAGCTGTGGTTGTGTGAGCAGTAGTGGCAGTTAACCTTTGCTGCTACTTTCATCTAAATAGAACTAAGTACCTCACAAGTTACAGCCAATGAGAAGCACTTTAGAGCTGTAATAAGATGAGGCCAGGGGCCCAGACCTTGACCTGGGTACTGGTTCCTGAGGTTCCTTTTTGTCTCATGTAGATTTTTGGGCTGGGCCCCCACAGAAGCTCACCACAATGACCAACAGATATAGGTAAACCTGGAAAAACTCCCTCCCTCCCTCCCTCCCTCCCTCCCTCCTCTCTCTCTCCTCTCTCTCCCTCCCTCCCCTGGAAAGACTGGGATAGGGGATGCCTAGCAGAGATCTAGAGCAATGCTCCAGCTCCCGCCCCAGTCTGCAATCTGTCCCCAGTGATACTTTCAGAGTGTCTGCAGGCTTGCTTGGCCCTGCTGCACGTGGGTGCCTGAAGGGACCACACAGGCAAGCACGGAGACCCACACAGGCACATTCTGCCCTCCCACGGGCAAACCCAGGGATGCACCTCTGACCCTGAAGGTTGACACCAGCAGGGACCCAGCAGCCCCAGCAGTGCCAGAGAACCAAGCCGACCAGGAAGGAAAGAACTGAAGACAAAGCCAAAATGTGAATGGGTCAAATGTCCAGCACGCATTCGAAAATTTACTTGTTATTCCAAAAAACCAGAGACCACAATGTGAATGTAAAAACACTGCTGGTCGAAATGGATGCCAACAGGAACCATCTGCCAAGGACTTGACAGCAGCCCTGAAAACAACTTTCAGAAATAATTACATACTAACTTTTGAAACTGAAAAAGAGTAGAAAAGTTTAGCAAAGAAAAAAAGTTACAAGGAGCCAAATGGCAGTTATAGAATTTAAAGGAAAAAAAAACCCAAAACCCAAAATAACAATGTGTCCATCACTGGAAAGATGCAGTGCTAAACTGGAAATGTTACAGTGATTGATTGACTTGGAATTTAACACAAAATGTAACCTAAGCTGGGCTGGAGAGATGGCTCAGCGGTTAAGAGCACTGACTGATCTTGCAGAGGACCCAGGTTTGATTCCCAGCACCCACATGGTGGCTACGAACCTTCCTTAACTCCAGTTCCAGGGGAATCCGAAGCTGTTTTCTGACCTCCGCGGCATTGCACGACACAGGTGCACTCACATACATGCAGGCAATACACTCATACACATAAAAATAAATAGTTTAAAAAAAAATGTAACCTAAGCCAAGCTTTGTGGTGCATGCCTGAAATCCCAGTACTGAGGAGGTTGAGGCAGGAGCATGGAAGGTTCAAGGCTAGCCTGGGCTGCATGGAAAGATCTTGACTCAAGCCCAGGAGTGGGGACACATGCCTTAAATCTTAGCATTTAGGAGGTAGAGGTAGGTGGATCTCTCTGAGCTTGAGGCCAGCCTCATCTATAGTCAAATTCCAGGCTAGCCCGGGATAAATAATGAGACCCTGACTCAAAAAACAAAGTAAAAAAATCCCCATTCAAAAGAAAAAGGAGAGGAGAGGAGAGAGAGACCAAGAATATGGGTGGGTGTTGGAGGTTGAGTTCCCCTTTTCTCTCTGGTGTCAGGTGCCTTGCTTGGTGACTGCTGGTCAGGTTGTGCTCTCTGTTGAACAGAGATTACCTGTCTGCTGACCTCACAGAGACTCCTGGTGCAGGCAAGAGCACTTTCTCAGAGGATTCTTTTCTCAAGGTGAAGTTAGATTAAGAGTTAGAGCTGATTCTGATGTTCAGTAATGACAACAGGTGACATAGAAAAGGCTTATGGAAGCTACAAAAAGTGCTTTGTTAACTAAATTTCCCTAAAGAGGTGCATTGTGTAGGTTTGAGAAAGGGAGACACAACATCATCCTTGCCCTTCATCAGCTATTCCCTTACCTCATACCTTCGGATGGAAGCCAGTATAGTGCTCCCAGCAGAGTGGCTTGCAGGGGGGCTGGAGAGATGGCTCGGTTAAGAGCATTGACTGCTCCTGCAGAGGACCCAGGTTCAGTTCCCAGCATCTACATGGCAGCTAATACCATAACTCCAGTTTCAGGGACTCTGACACCCTCTTCTGGTCTCTATGGGCATTGCACACAGGATATACTTACACACACACACACACACACACACACACTGAAAAAGAGTGACTTGCAATCTACAGATATTTTTGTAAATCAATTCTAAATTTTGATGAAAAAGCTGTTTATACAATGTGGATTTGCCAAACAGAAAAATCCAAATTGTTCATGATGTATTATGTAAAGAAAAAGCACAGGGATTAATTGGTCTTAAGAATATATCTCGTCAAAGAACAAAATTTGTTTCTCAAAAGCCAGAGGCTTTTGATGTATTATGTAAAGAAAAAGCACAGGGATTAATTGGTCTTAAGAATATATCTCGTCAAAGAACAAAATTTGTTTCTCAAAAGCCAGAGGCTGCTGGCTGTGACCTCAGTGATAAATTCATGACTTGAGCAAAGATGAGGCCATCCATCACCTGTGTAACGAGGAGAGCACGGTCATTCTTGGAGACACAGATGGTTCAGCAGGGAATACTCATGAAGGATGTGAGGGGTCAGATGAGAGGACTCCTGAGGGAAAGGTCTCTGAAATCAAGGCTGAACAGCAAGATACAGATGGTAATCCTAGGTGACTGCACCTTAGTTCATGCTTGCTGAAGCTGCCTCCGATAGAAGAAAAGCTCCCCTGTTTGGAAACAGCAGCAACAGATGCTCTTGTAACACAGATGCTTCTGTCTAAAAGGAATGGCTACATAGAGCCTGATTCAGTTAAGTGAAGACTGGTCCTGTTAGCTGTATGGATCTCATACCCTTTGGTAGGAAAAGCAATGTGGAAGGGCCAGCGAGTACTCATGGGTCATCTGGGTATAGTACAGGATCACCAGATTCAGCCAACTCGGGACACAGAGGCAGGTGGATCTCTGTGAGTTCAAGGCCAGCCTGGTCTACATAGTTCCAGGAGAGCTGGAGCTACAGGGAGACCCTGTCTAAAAAAGACCCCCCCCCAAAAAATTTCAAGAGCGGGCATGGAGG